AAATGATCGTAACTTAGTAGCCCTAAGTATATATAGTTGTCTATATTTAAGTACACAAGTGTATGTAATATATATACACATAACATGGTATAGATAGTAAGATATAAATATATAAATATATATAATGTAGTTATAAGTATACTATAATATGTATATTATAGAATTACAATTATATAAGTATATATAAGTACATAAGTATAGTTATATATAAGTATATTGCATCTAGTATATATAAAAGAATATCATATAATTAAAGTGTATAACTGTACTTAAATAAGCATAATGTAAGTATATATATAGTTATGTGATTCTCTCTCTCTCAAGTTATAAATTATAAAGTATATATAATATATTTACATAGAATACATGTATATAGAATATATAGCTACATAATAATATGTAAGTATATACTAATACATATTTATATAAAAATAATAAGATTAATCTAATTTTTAGTAATTTTTTATCAAAAAAATAAAAATACGGAAACAAAAAATACAGGCTGGNACCCGTTTTGCCCAGCCCGGACCCAAATTTCTGGGTCGGGTCGGTCTAAATGGATAGACCTACCCTTCTTTCATTGAGATAACCCTAAACTTATACAAACAATTCAATGGAATTATTTGCTTTTTTTATTTGTAAGGGTTTTTATATGGAAACCATCTTTAAAATAGGAATGTAATATATGAACCACAATTATTGTTTAATTTATACAGAAATCACCTTAAAAGTATATTTTGTTTCAATCAACCACAAAAACTCATTTTATGTTGACTTTTTTTATCAATTTTTTTTTAACTACCCATTGTATTTACTAGTTGCTCTCTCTCTCCCCCTCCCCTCCCTTCCTTTTATAATCGTGCCTTATATCAATAGTTAGAAGAAGAGATGGGAGACAAAATAAATATATTAAAGGAATTTTAATTAAAAAAAGTCAACATGAAATGAGTTTTGGTGTTTGGTGGTTGATCGAAACAAAATATACTTTTAAGGTGGTTCATATAAATTAAATATTAAAAGTGTTTTCTGTATTGTACCTCTATTTTAAAGGCAGTTTCCATATGAAAACCCTATTCATAGTGGCTGCGTTTTCTAAATATATATAAATCAATAAGATTAAACCATTTCTAATATGTGAATATCTAAATATGTGAGTCTGTATGCTATAGTACTGCTTAGGGAGACACGATCCAACGTTGATGGGCGTTGAGTTCATATTAAAATCTCTTGTTTAAATTCAATGCATGGGGCGATGCTTATGGATCAGTGATCATGAATTTGTACCAATTTCTTCCAATATTACATATAATTTTGTTCACATGCGCTTTCCTTGAAAAAAGTTAGTTGTATAAAATGAGATATTTCTTTAGAAAATTGTGTAAAGGCCCCAAAAATAAAAAATTGATGTGTTCCAGCATCCTATATTATTTCTAATATGTATTAGCCCCAAATACATAGAGAGTGTGTAATTCAGCACTATTTACACTTCCCAAGAGAAAAAATCCAAAAAAAAAAACTCAAACTATCCCTCTTCTTCTCCTCCTTCTCTGTTTGTCCCTTTTTTTTATGGAGACCACAAACTCCCTTCTCTCATCCTCTTTGGCGGTGAGGGTCTTTGAGGGTAGGATAAGGTGATGGGGATAAAAGGAGGGAAGGCGAGACGGTGTTGAAATGACGACGATGGAGAGATCGATGGACGGAGGGATGAGCTGGAGCTCGGAGGCCTACTCCTCTTTCTTCTCTCCCTCCATCGTCCATTTTTCCCTTCTCTCTTTGGCGGCGAGGGTCTTTGAGGGTAGGATAAGGTGATGGGGATAAAAGGAGGGAAGGCGAGACAGTGTTGAAATGGCAATGATGGAGAGACCGATGGAGGGAGGG